AGTCACTTGTCTTTACAGTCAAGGCCCTCCCCAGCCAAGTGCATTTGCCATGGAGATGATGGCTCCTGTGTTCCCATGGTTTGTGATGCCAGCCCCAGCACTGCTGAGCTCTATCCTTAAACCTTTGTGCCTTTCCTGCAGCTGTGGGAGAAACTTGACAAAATACCCATAAAAATACCCTGTGATTTTCTTGCTAATTCCTTCTCTGCCACACCTACAATCCTTAATAAGGTTTAGGCAACAAACATGCCAAGTTTGAACCTGTCTTGGACTTTCCTTACTCATATCACTTGGTTATCTCTCACCTCAGGCAAAGCGTATTTCCACAGCATGGGAAACAGCTCCACGTTCTGCCTGCACAGCACCTAGAACAGCTTTGGACCACAGTTTCCTTTTAATTAAGCAATATGGTGGCTATTCACCATTTTTAAAGAGTAAGTTAAAGACAGAAGGTGCATGTGATGGTTTCAGAAAGTCCCACAGGAGACGCTGACATGGAGAAGGATGAGAGGCTCAGTTGAGCCAAATATCCTGCCTTCAGCAGTGGGTATTTGAGGCTACATTTGTCATCCATGGTGAAATCCTGCACACACAGAGCTGGAGGAGGGGAGTCCTTTTATGACAACTGCACTGATTAGCTGGTGTCCTGAAGAATGACGTTTGATTACCTTTATCTTCGGCTGCAGAACTGCAAATGTCACTAATGGTCATAAAATCACCCAGTCTTTTTCAAAATACAACCAAAGGAAATTAATCTATTGAGCACAGTTTATTCAATACTTCTTACTCTGGCAAAACTCCCAAAAAATCATTTGCTTGCTGCATGTCTCCACCATATGGTGTCATTCAATGCAGACTTTCTCTCCTGCATTGAAATCCAAGATTTAATGGAGCCGAATCACCTACAGAGTTTTTCCAGCTCAAGCCTACTAACACAGTTTTCTGTCAAAGAGGTCGCACAGCATTTGCTGGTTTGGTATATTAACCACGGCCAGCATGAATCCTGCTTTCATAATTAAAATCAAACTCCTCGGATTTTAGCAAGTTTGAAGGAAGCATTTTGCACGCAGAAGAACAGCACTGGACAATATCAGCAGTCTTTATCTGGTTTCAGAACTTGACGGTCTCTGAATATACTGTCCTATCTGCAGGTAGTTTCTCATATCAATGTCTCAGCAACCAGAAAACTAAACCAGAAACATGACATGGGACTGTACTGGGAAACTAAAGCAGTGAGGCTCTATTCAAGCTCTCAAAAACATTTTCTTTTTAATGAGGCCATTTTACATAGAACCTTACCACCAAGTAACGAGGGACAAAAGAAAGAAATTATGGGTACTATGTACACTTACAGTAGGCAATAGATAGATGCTGGTTTTGCTAGAAACATGAGCTCAAGACCAGAAGTAAGATGCCCAACTAAGCATTTAGCTATGCTGGTATTTCATCCTCCACCACATGTGCCTAATGTCAACTAGACACTCCATGACTCAGTTTCCTCAGCTGTAAGATGGGGCCATGCTTTGACAACCCTGGTTTTGACATCACGATGGCAGCTTCAATCAACAGGCTTAGAAGAACACCGGCATCCTGTGGCCCCACCACTGATCAATAACATACCAGAGACTGCTGTTACAGTGATGAGGAAGCCACAAGCTCTGCTTCACACAGCATTCCCAAGGCTTTGGAAAGCAGCGTATCCTTTCATGTAGCAGCCTCCCCTTGCCCTTGATGTGCACCCACCACAGATGCTGCTTAACGGCGCCAAAGACTTCAGTGCTGCACATCCCTCATGCTATGCAGCTTTATGGCTCATCTTCCCCTCCGTGCTCCACCTATGACCTTCCACCCCCTCTGCCCCACAGCTGTGAGAAATGCTGGTCTGCTCTGCAGAAGGAGACACTTCCCCTCTGCACTCACTCACTTGGATGAACACCGAACTAATTTAAACCTCATCATTAACCCTCTTATCACTGGTGTTGGAGCAAGCAGTTATTGAAGGGAGTTAAGCACTTTCCAATGCAATCATGACACACCAGAAACACACTCACGGGCAGCTACCACAGCTCACATGACAAGCAGTAAACTGTCACATCAAGCTGCCTGGATCATTTCTGACTGCTGACCCACACCCCCAGGCTGCCATAGCTGCTTTGGATATATTTGCTGCTCTTTCAGAGTTCATACACTAAGGATTATTCTGGTTAGTGAAAGTTGAGACTAGAGATAGTGAGCACTTGGCAATGCTCTACCCAGCCCAGCCCAGCCACCAGGCACCCCAAAGTGCCACCCACCCTGCCAGAGGGGCTGTAATTCAAATAACAACTCCCACAAATGGGAAATAGACAAAGAGGCAGTAAAATGGTGTATCAAATAACATGAGCACTGGGAAACACCCAACCCACCCTCTCCACACACAGAGCACTCAGATAACAGCAGCCAGACCCTGGACTCAACCAGCTTATCAGGACATCACAAAGCAGAAGAGCAGATTTGGCCAGCAGCAGCTGCAAGCCAAATGTGTCGCACAAAGCACTACACTGCTGGAGGCAGCTGCCTTCATCTTTACAGCAGATGTCCATCCTGTGATGGCTTCAGTGTCTGGTGTGACAAGCTCCATCATCAACTGATCTAAAATAGAGCAGATCCCACAGATCTTATCTCAGTCTCTTTCTCTGTGGCCCAGCAGGTGGGGATGCAGCCAGAATTAACCCAGGGAAGATGAGCTGCCTTTGCTGCTCTTGCTTATTCCTCCTCCTGTGCTGCCCACTTGCATGAATCCAGCTTGTGTCCAGAGGGCTCCTAGACCAAACACAACTTAGCCCTTGGGAAAGCTCCTTCCCCACTGCTGTTCCTTTCTATCTGTGCTCTCCACACGATGCATGCTCAGCAGCAGCTCTCCCCACCTACTGCAGCTCTCTCTTACCACCCCTCACCCAGCAGCCCCAACCCCTCCTTCCAGTCCTTGCTGGACTTTGCCAGCATCCCACTTGTCCCATCCCAACTACTCCAACATCTAAATCCAGCTTGTTCCAACAACCCAGACCATCATCTCACCTTAGCCCAACCTTGATTTAGACTACAGTACACCATCACCGTACCACTCATCTCCCGGCACTGGCCTCCACCCTAACCAGATCCTTCATTGCATCCAAAGACCCCAGCTGGTTCTGTAAGTTTGCATTGCTCTCTCTCAAACAGTTTTTTCTTCCCTTAAACACTTCCTTCCTTCCTGGGTCCCCTCTTTCCCTTGTCAGCATCAAAACTCCACTTCCAGCCCTTCGCATAGTGTATTCCCATTGCTTCTTCTCAGCCCAGACTGTCCCTCATTTCCCCAACCTCTGGCAGAAACCCCCACACTACACCACATCCTGGCAAACTATCCTAAACAACCAGCATTGACTGGGTTTTCCCAGTGACTCACCAGACCGTTCACCCCACCAAACTGGCAAGTTTCTTTCAGCCCCTGAGCACTGTCTCAGTCCTGTCCATCCCTGAACACTCAACCCCTCATCCAGGCTTTCTCTGTCATCATCTACCTCCCATTCTAAGGCTGTTTATCAACAATGAACCCAACAACCTTCCACCTCAGCAAGGTCTCTTACAGCTCCCTCAGCTCCTGTAGCCAGGATCCAACCCCCAGGATTGGATCCACCTTGACCAGATTGTTCAATGCCCTGTCACTGATGCTCCCAGACTCCCCACAGTCAATCCCTGAACATCCTCACTGGGTTCTTTCATTGCTCCTTCCCTTGTAAGGCCAAGTGGGCCATGACCACCCTGCTTTCCAGCCCTCCTTATCACCCAGCCCTCCATCATGCCTTCCAAATCTTGACTGCATCAGCTCAAGACAAGCTGATCCCATTCCAACAAACTCCCCCCAGTAGCATCCTCCAGCCTCCCAGCCCCTGCCAGGCCCCTTTTCCAGGTCCCACATAGCCTCAGGCTCCGGCCAGGGCCCCACACCAGCCTGCGTCTCCCGTGGCTGGGGGCTCCAGCAGCATCCCTCTGGCTGTGTGCCCCTAATCCCCCTGACCCAGACCCCCTTTCCTGACGGGATACCCCCGCCCTACCAGCTCCCAGTGGCCAAGCCCCCCATAGTGACACCGCCGATCCCAGTGATCCCCGGCCTGCCAGCCCCCCGGGTGGGTGTCTCCTGTTCCCGTTACCCCACGCTCCCCGGCGGTGTGAGCCCTCGGGCTCAGGACCCCTCCGGTGCGCGCGGCGAGGCCCAGGCCGCCACGGTGCCCCGTCCCCGCCGCACTCACCATCCTCTGCGCGGCTCCGGGGTTACCATGGGCAACTGCGTCACACACACGCCGCCGCTACGCACGGCGTAAGCGTTTCCCGCCGTACGTACGGAACGTGCCGACGGCGGGCGCGAGGGAGGCGGAGCCCGGCGCCACTGCCCGCGGCTGAAGTCCCGCCCACCCCAGACAGCGCAGGCGCGCAAGGGGCAACCCTGCTGGAGGGGCGGTGGGGGCGTCCTCTCTGGGCTCTATGATTGGCTGAGGACGGCCACACGGCGGGGTCCGGGGGGCAGGTGCGTGCCACGTGGGCAGGAGACGGCGCGTGAGGGGTCTGCAGGTAGGGGCCACGTGGGACGCGGGTGTGCAGTGCCGTGCAGTGCAGTGCAGTGTAATGTAATGTAGTGTACTGCCATGCAGTGCCATGTAATATAATGCAGTGCAATCTAATGTAGTGTATTGCCATGCAGTGGCATGTAGCATAATGCAATGTACTGCCATGCCATGGGCCAGGCCAAGCGCTATAGTTTTGTGAGGGCACTGTGCAGCACTACAGACCATGTGTAGTGCAGTGTGATGCAGTGCAGTGGTATGTGAGAGAGCACAACAGTGTTGTAGAGGTGCACTGTCTGTGTTGGGGAACACACCGTGTAATGCAGTGCCAGCGCCACAGGAGGGTGTAGTGTGGTGCCCCAGGGGATGGTGGTGGAGCTGTGCAGTGCAGCCACAGGAGGGTGCAGTGCCACAGTGGGTGCAGGCAGTGTTTGGGTGCTCAAGGAGGGGACCCCACGCAGGCAGGCTGGCCTGCAAAAGAGCAGTCTGATTGCAGCAGGGTGCAGGAGGTTCCTGGGCTCAAGGCTGCTGAAAGTCCAACTGTTCTGTTAAATATAAACCTGCCATAGCTCTTGCCCAGTTAACCACTCCTGTGGCCGTGGCAGGCCTGCACTCAGTGGGCAGGCAGCATCCTCCTGAGCTGCCTTCTCCCCCTGCCCAGATCCACGCCAAGATGGGCACCGTCCCCCATGACTTCAACATCGACGCCCCGCGCTGGGACCAGAGCACCTTCATGGGGCGCCTGAAGCACTTCCTCAACATCACCGACCCACGGACTGTGCTGGTGCCAGAGAAGGAGCTGGACAGGGCCAAGACTCTGGTGGAAGCCTGCAGGTGAGGAGCAGGGGTACAGCAGGGCAGGTACCATCCCCATGGCCATACCTGACCACTCTGCAGGGCCACACGGGAATGGAAATAGTCATTCCACAGTGCATGTACTGGGACATAAATATCCATTAGAGGTGATTTGGGGGGAGTTTCCCAGCCTTCTCTTGGGAGTCTCAAGCTGGGGCAAGCTTCCTTCATGGAAGATGTTTCTCTGCCTTTCATGTTTGGTGCCCCTGGGCTCTGTGTCCCGGTGATGCAAGGTGCTGGTGGGTCTGCTTAGTTCCTCCCCGATGGTCTCTGGGCTTGCAGGACCGGGCTGGTGCCACCAGGAAGCAGCCTGGAGCAGCTGCTGTACGCCAAGAAGCTGTACGATTCAGCCTTCCACCCTGACAGCGGCGAGAAGATGAACCTTGTTGGGAGGATGTCCTTCCAGGTGCCAGGGGGCATGGCCCTCACCGGCTGCATGCTCCAGTTCTACCGGTGAGCTCCTGGGGATGCTGGGCAGGGAACATCCCTGACAGCCCACAGCCCCTCGAGAGGTCCTTGATAGTCCAGGCATGGCCTCCTCTGGGGCTGGATGGTGCTTGAGCCATGCCCATGGCTGCTGTGCCTGCCTGTGTCCTGTGGCTAAGACCTGCGTCCCTGTGCCCTGTCCCTGTTGCACAGCCTGTGGTGGAAGCATCATGAGTCCTCCCGGCTCCCAGCATAGCTGGGAATAGCCCCACTTCACCTCAGCTCAGCAATTCCTGGGCCCCTGTAATGATTAACGTGGCCAAGCCCTGCATGGCTGCTGCTCTCGCTCCATGGATCATAACAGCTCTCAAAAATGAGGACCAAATGTGCCCCCAGGCCAGGCTTCTCCAGTGGCCCCAGCCCATACCAACAGCTCCCTGTGTTTCCCTTCTGAAATGGCTGCTGGGGGGGTGAGCAATCCTCTCCCCAGCAGGGAGGCTGTGTGAGACAGGCACTGCCTTCCCCAGTGAATCCCCATTCCACCCCTGTTTGCTGGACTGGTTTCACAGTCGCTGATGTGATCCAGCCTGGATGGGAGTTCTCCCAGTGCTGATCTGTCACCCTCTTCCCAGCCCACCTCCACCCTCCTGCACCCCAAAGCTTGCTCGGACCTACATCTCCCCGTGTCTCCTCCTCAGTGTCCCTGAAACACCAGGAGGAGCCCAGGCATCATCGTCACCCCCAGAGCTGCCTCTGTCCCCATATGCCCCCTCTGTGCTGCTCCCTTTGACAAAGGCTTATCTGAGCTCAGCAGGATGGCTGCCAGCCCTGGCTGAGCACCCCACAGGGCTGGGCCCCTCCTTTGCTCCCCAAAGCCCTGTTGCAGACAGGACTCCGGGGATCATTTCCCAGCCCTGCCAGTGGCTCGTGGCTTTGCTGCAGTCCCTCAGTTTCCTTTGGGAGACATCATGACAAGGGTATTGAAGGCATCTTAGCTGCCCGCCAGGTCAGGTATCCCTGACAGCCCTCAGGTGCTCTCCTGGTCCCTTCCCTCTGCAGGACAGTGCCTGCTGTGGTTTTCTGGCAGTGGGTGAATCAGTCCTTCAACGCCTTCGTCAACTACACCAACCGCAATGCTGCCTCCCCCATCTCACTCAAGTAAGTGTGTCTCCACACAGGATGGGCACCTTCTGTGTTGGGACCCCCTTTATGCTCCATAAAGACCCCCTGTGCCCCGTCTTGGGCACTGAAGGAACAGCATTGAGTCACAGTTGGTGTTTCTGTTCTCTCCCTTCTTTGGAAATCACTGTCCAGGCAAATTGGGGTGGCTTATGTCACAGCCACTGGTACAGCCCTGGCCACCGCTGTGGGACTCAACCTCTACACCAAGGTATGCCAGGATGGGTAGGGGAGCTGGCTGCATCCTGCCCTCCTGCACTGACACCAGCCTGTCTCCCACAGCGAGCACCCCCCTTGCTGGCCCGTTGGGTCCCCTTCGTGGCCGTGGCTGCTGCCAACTGTGTGAATATCCCCATGATGCGGCAACAGTAAGTGCCACACGCAGCTGGGGCGCTTGAGGGACCCAGCTCCTTCTGAGGGCGAGAGGATGGAGGCCATGCTGGGGTCTTGCACATTCATGGTGCCAGGTCTCTGGTGAAGGTGCCAGGTGGGGTGTCTCAGCCTCTGCCTGGAGCAGGAGCAGGATTTTGGGCTGAGGATAACTATTCTGGGGTCTGGCCTGGAATATCTCTCAGACCCAAAGGTCTTCCGCATGTGGTCATGGGAAAGCCCCAGTCCACAATGTCCATGCACTGGGACCCCCTTGATGGGGCTCATGTGGAGACCTGTGTCTGCTGCTTGGTGTCCCCACAGGTGACAGTGAGGGGAGCTGGGGTGCTGTGGGGGGACTGTCCCCTGGCTGGGCTGTGGGTCACAGGGAGGTGTCTGTCCCCTGAATGACCAGACCCAGTTTGCAGCCATGCCCTGAAGATGGCAGCATCGGCTGGGCTGGGGATTGTGGTGCCCCAGGCTGGTGGAGCCCGGCACCCTGGGACCAGGGCTGTGGGCAGTGGGGTTGCTGGGATGCCGTTGGTACCCCCTCACCCCACTGCTGTGTCCTCACACACATCGATCCCAGTTCCCACTCACTGCTGCCTGTCCCCTCCAGGGAGATCATCAACGGGGTCACAGTGACAGACCAGGACAACAATGAGCTTGGCCGCTCCAGGGTGAGTCTGGGGATGAGGGTCCAGGTTGGGGTATGGCATGGCAGGGGCTCACCTGCTGCTTTTGCTTACAGAGAGCAGCAGTGAAGGGCATCGCGCAGGTTGTGGTCTCCAGGATCACCATGGCAGCACCAGGCATGAGTGAGTGCAGAGCAGGGGAGTAGGGGGCTGGACTTGGGTCTCCAGTGGGACCCCACTGGGACCAACCACTTCACCCTCCCCTGCTCTCAGCAAGATCCTTGCCATGCCAGAAGCCTGGCAGAAAGGATGGGAGCATGAGGAGCATGCTGCCTGGGGGATGGATGGATAAAGGGATGAGGGTCCTGTGCCAGGTCCCTGCGATGAGCACCCAGTGGTTCCCAGCACAACTAGCTGCTGCCATGGCACACGGGATGGTCATGCTGGCGCAGCCCTTTGGGCCTGGCTTTCAGGGGTGCCCTGACTTTTTCTCTCTGCACCTAGTTATCTTACCTATCATCATGGAGCGACTGGAGAAATACCCCTTCATGCAGGTGAGCCCCTGTTTCTCCTGCCATGGTTTGCCAGTGGGTCCTGTGATGCCACTGAGATACCGGGGATGATATGGGGGGTTGTAGACCCTGGCTTGCTTTGCCCCCTATTCAAGTCACCAGTACACCAGACATCTCTTGGGAGAGGCTGTGGAAGGGTGGCAGGGTTGGTGGCACCCTAGAGGTGTTGGGCATTCAGCCCCCTTGAGGGGAGAAGTCTCCCTACCCTGTAAGCAGGGCTCATGGCTAAGCCAGGAACTCAATCCCAGCTCTTCTGTTGCAGCGAATCCGAGTTCTCCACGGGCCTCTGCAGGTGCTTCTCAGTGGGGGCTTGTAAGTATCTCACTGCTCGAATGCCTGTGGGTGCCTGGAGCGTGGCTCCAAGGGATGCTTGAGAAAAGAGCTCTTTCCCAGCAAGGGATTGCAAAGCTGCTTGCCTTTCAGCCTGGGCTTTCCCCAGTTATTTGGAGTCAGCACCTCTTGGGCTGAGATTCCTGTGGCCAGGGGGCAAATGGCCTGCAGTCCACAAAACTAATGCTCATCTCTTCTCTGTCCCACAGCCTCCTGTTCATGGTGCCAGCAGCCTGCGCCCTGTTCCCTCAGAGATGGTACCTGTCCCGCTGCTTCCTCCTCCTGCATGGGACCTTGGGGACCTTCCTCCTCCCCTAAGTCTTCTCTGCCCTTCCCAGGAGGAGCATGATGCCCCCCTGCATGCACCTGAATGTATACACTGGAGTCCCGGGCAGCAGGAGAGCATGTGCCTCCTCTGCTTGGCAAGCTCTGTGCTGGGAGCATTGGGACCCCCCCAGGCCCATGGGCAGCTCTCTGCCCCCCAGCACTGGACGTGGTGGGTGCCAGGAATGGGTGGTGGGTCTTGATGTGAGCCTGCAAGATCCCAGGGACTGCAGGGGACCTTGCATATCACTGGAGAGGGAGGGTGACCTGCCTAATGGCCATGGAGGAGGATGACAGGTCTAAGTGTCTGCCCCTTCTCCCCACAGCTCCCTTGCATTCTCCAACCTTGAGCTGGAGCTGCGTGACAGCATCGTGACCAAGCATGGGGACAAAGTGCCATACGTCTACTTTAACAAGGGTCTGTGAATGGAGACTACCTCAGGAGCCATCGCACCCCTCCTGGTAGCCTCCTGCCACCACCAGCCCCACATTCCCTGAGCAGGGCTCAGAGGCATGGTCCAGCCAGATCTGCCCCCCTGCCCCAGCCCAGCACCCTGGTGCCCCTCCCTGCAGAGGGGCAGGATCTGGCTCTGTGTGCCCAGCTTGCAGCACTCTGGCTTGTCCTGAGCCTCCCCCCATTGCTGCTAGCCGTGTGCTTGCCTCCCCAAGTTCCTCTGGGTGATGGCTGCACTTCCAATGCCTTCCGCTACCCCAGCCTTGTGTCTGTGTGAGCCTCAGGGCTCCTGTGAGGCATCAGACTCTCCCTTGAGGCTCAGTGCAGTCCTACCTCCACAAGCAGGTGCCCTGCCATCTCACCAGGAGCCAAACCACATTGCTGCCTTACACCACCACAGTGGCCTTTTACCAAGAGGGACTTCTCCCCTCTGCACAGGGAACATCGTGAAGTCTAGGGACCAATGATTGGACCATGCCTTCCTTATTCTCAGGTTCAGGTTTTATTCACTTTGCGTTGCCACAATCCAGGACAGAATTAGCTACTTGGTTTTTAAGCTCTAATTTTTGCAATCTACCCATTCCAAAGAGCACAAGAACCAGCCATCACCCTTGTCCCACTTCTCACTGTCTCTACAGTAGTACCGAGGATCTGCAGCTTTGGGGGACAGTTGACTCTGGCCCGCTTTGGGCAGGGGGAAGCAGACACAAGAATTACAAAGCTGGCAGGGCATTGACGCAGGCTCTGAGTGGCAGCACTGGAAATGGCAGAGAGGAGGGCTGAATAATTACATTTCTAAAAGCAGCTGTGGGCTCTGCTTCTGGCTGGTTCCCTGGACAGGGCTGGTACACGGGTCTCATGCCTGCCTTGAAAGGGAAGGGTGCAGGCTCTGTGACTGACCAGCCACCAGGATGAGGACACAGGGGCCAGGAGAAGGAGGAAGAGCCATGAGGCTTTGCAAGGGCTGACATGAGCCTTGGGCATCCCATGCAGCCTCCCCAGAGAGGTTCTTGGGGCTGCAGATAGTCCTGAGGCAAGTGCAAAGAGAGGTGATAGTGCTGTGCTCATGGTGACTCATCCCACTGGGGATATTGAGGGATAACACTGGCTGACCCTACACCCATGGGTGCTGTTTGTCTCCTTGGCCAGACAGTGTTTACAGTGATGCTAACTTGGGTCTGCAACAAGGCCTCTCTCACCCCAAAGAATTGCGGCTTAAGTTTGCTGGAGCCTACATTTCATAAGAAGGAGACCCAGTTTAGTCCTGGTCCTGGGCTAAAGTCCCTGCCCTCAACCAGCTGCATCCAGGCTCTCTTCTTGCTGGTGAGCATCCCTTGGTGGGATAAGCATGTTTCTAACCAGGTGTCTGATGTGGCTGCTTGGAGAGCCCCATACTCATCCCTTCAGCCAGGGATACCTGTCCGATTCCCACGTGGAGACACAGCGTCTGCAGCAAAAGGGCTTTATGGCATTAAGCACTCCACTCCTACAAACAGAGCAGTCAAACCCAAACTGTACTTCTTGAAAGGCCAAGCTGTATCTACAATGGGTTTGCTTCTGCCCAAGCTGCAACAGGCAGAGGATAATGTCTGCAACCACATGTAGTTACAGCTAGAAAGTCGTATAAGAGCTCTGGAATAATGAATAGGTCAGCAGAAAGTAGGAAAACTTGTTAAAACTTGTGTTTCTGTTCCCTGGGCATTATTAGATCTCTTGTTAATGCACAATTAAAATAGATAAGCATATGAAATGTAACAGATGTCACTGGTGTTGCAAGTGGGAAGAAGCCAGAAGACATCTCTGCTCTCCTTAAGCTGCTTTTACTGTACACCCAAACCTGCTTTGAGCACTTTCAGAAAGGCACCTGTAGCAATCTGGGCTGTATTTGGGTCCAAGGTGCCTCTCACATGCTAGGGAGCACACTGATGCTCTAAAACTGCCCCTCCCTGCGCATCACAGCCATGCTCTTGCTGTTGACCCTTCCTGCATTTGCAGCAAGTCCTGAGAGGGCTGTGCAGCCAGTGATGCCGGGGCAGCAGCCTGGGACCACTGCGGGAAAGCCTTAGCATAACTGCTGTCCCCAGCCATACCAGAGGGGCAATGGAGGAGAGGGATCCTCTGAAGACCTACTGCCATCTCACACCAGCGCATCCCCTGCCCTGGGGAGCAAGGCACGGTGCAGCGCGTTGCTTTGGACAGAGGAATTGGGTTGTTCTGGGCTTGGAGGATATTCAAGCCACCCTCAACCCAGACCTCCCCCACCCCCGAGCTTCTAGTAGTGGATTCCCTCTTCAGATCGATGTGGACTTATGCCAGCTGACAGCTTAGCTCAGCGGGGTTTGTAGGTTTCCAGGTTGTAGCTCCCATCTCCCCTGAGGATTCAAGTCATCTCAACAGCTCATGTTGCCCTGGTGTCGGGAGATGGTTGCTGCAAGCCAGTGCCTTCCTGCACTCCCTAAAACCACAGCAACTCCCCAGCACGCCTTGGTCTCCTTAGGGAGCAGAGGGGTCACAGCCACGCTGCAGCCACCAAGTCCCTGTGCTTCCAAGGATGACTCTGCCAGCCTGCCTCCATCTCCCATCGCTGCAATACGAAGGAAACCTCATTGCCAGAAGTCAGAGCCGGACTCATCCCTGATTGGGAAGAGCTGCAAGTGTTAATTGCTCTCCAGCGATGAGTCACATCTGATCTGGGCTGGTTCTGTGCTCCCACTGAATTCATGGCTTCTCCCAGCTGTGCCTCTAATTGTGGTGAACAGGAATAAAGCTTCTTTAATAACTGTTCATGGCTGAAATGTCAGGTTTATAACCTCCCTTCAAATGATAACCAGACCGAAGACACTGGGCTGCAGCAGAGCCTTGGGAGGCATGGGAGGCTGGGGCGCTCATCTGGAGCATCAGCAGTCCCAGCAGGTAGGCTTGGCTGGCTGCTCCTCACCCAAAGGCTGGTGGAGGCTGGTGAAGTGGCTGCCTATGGAGGGGGGATCGGCAGGGTGCATGTGCAATGGGTTAACACCTGACGGCCCATGCCAGCGCAGGCAGGCGAGCTGAACCAGCGGGGTTAGGTGTGCCCCAAGCACTGCCCTAACTGGAGCATGCCAGGGTGGGAGATAAGCTGCTAAACCCATTACTTTTGTTTCGGCTTTTCTTAATGTGTTATCTGAGCATCTGATAAACCTCATCCCTCTGATCCCTGTGGAGGCAGCCTGATGTGCAGGGAGCGGTGGTTTAGAAAGCCTGTCACTGCCCCAGAAACATGGGCTATCTCCCCTGAGCTGTGAATTAACCCCAAATGCTAGTATCCCCTCTTCTCCCAGCCGTGCAAGCCTGGGCAAGGGACTGCGGTGTGGGGACATGCTGGGACTTGGCCATGGTGGGACACTTCTCCATGCTGCTGCTGTCTCTGGACCAGGCTGACACCAACATATGGTTGCCTGCCAGGCACCTCCAGTCCAGCCCTATGCTGCTGCTATCATTTTAGCATCCTCTCCATGTCAAACTCCCAGATCCAGGTTGGCCGCTTGGGTCTGGGGCTCTATGGGTGCACTGGAGAGGAGGCCGAGCAGGGATCATGGTAGCCAGGTGTGGCCAGGTGAATGGAGGATGAGTTTCTGGCTGCCATTGGGATGTCAGGGTGCTGTAGCAGGCTTGTGAACCCCCTTTTTGCAGTGCCCAGATCTGTTCCTGGAGGTGCTTGCACTGAGGGTGCAGGGCCAAGGGGCAGCCCCCCCACTCCGCGTCCAGGCAGTTCCGCCACTCACAATATGGCAGCGCGCCCCCACCCCCAGACTCCCTCCCCGGTGCGCCACACTCAAGATGGCAGCCCCCGGTGCGCAGGCCCCGCCCCTCCCGGTTCTGCCCATAAGCGACAGCTCCCTAAGCCAATAGAAAGCCAAGCTGCGCGCCGCCCAACCAATAGGCGGCCGGGTGGGGCGGGCCGGGGTGCAGGGTGCCCCTCGGCTCCCGTCCCGGGCCGCAGTCGGGCTGGGGAGGCGGGGAGCGGGGGGTGGGGGGGATGGCGGGGAGGCTCCGTGCCGCCATGGCCTTGCTGTTGTTCCAGGCCCTGCCGGAGGGGCTGCCTGCCAGCGTGGAGCCTGCCCAGGTAGGGGCTGCCCTCAGGGGGGCTGCTTGGGGGGGGTCTGGGCTCGCGCCGCGCTGGGGGGTTGGGTCCGTGAGGCTGGGGAATACAGTCTGTGAGGGGCCTGAACGCCTGAGGGGCAGCGCAGGGGTCTGTACCCTCCGTGCTGAGGGACGTGGCCTTTGGGGTAGGGGGTTCAGGCTGGGCGGGCGGGAGTGGGGTGCCTGGGCTCTTGGGGCTCGAGGAGGAGGCTTTTGGGGCCCCGCCTGTGGTCTGGGGAGCCCTTTAGGTGAAGGACAGCTGGAGGAGATGCAGAGACTGGAGTTCGGGGTTGCTTCTGTGTTGAAGGGATGGAGAGGGTTTGTAGAGGATCTAGGTGCAGGTGGCAGTGCCTCTTTGAGGTGCTTTGTATGGCAGGGTGACTTGCAGGGTGAGAAAGAAGGGTGCTTGGTGGTGGTTGACTGGAGATGGTGGTGAACATGGCCATAGCGAGGGCAGAGGCTTGAGCTGGCAGGTGCGTGGGGGCTGTGGATGGAGCAGTGTGTGTCTTTCTGGGGTGGTGACAGGAAGGAGGTGGCCTGTGAGGGGATGGGGCTGCAGGAGGTTTGGGATGAGCTGGAGGGTGGCTCTGGGGCAGCTAGCCAGAGGGTCAGTGGGGAAATGGGACTTGTGTGGTGCTGCCCAGACCAGGGGAGCTGGTCTGCCCATGGCAGGAACTGTGGTGAGGAGGTTTGGCGCAAGCCTCAGCACAGAGGGAAGGAAAAGGGGGTGTTTGTCAGCCGGGATGAGAGGAGCAAGGCCTTATCTTTGTAGGCTCTGACCACCTGCTTACTACCTTCTTCATGCCTGGAAAGGGTTTTAATAAAGTTGATTCTCTTTTCTTCATCTCTTTACTCTGTTTCCTGTCTACGCTGCAGTACGTACCGTTCAGATCACCAGTGATGGGTTCTCCAGTGTAGGTGCATGTAGACCTCTCCCACCTTGATATGTACGCTTAGTGTCACTTGGAGAGGAGTGTACTAGGCCAAGCAACCTGTGCATGACCTGGACCTTATTATTGTGGAGTCAAGATGTCTCTTTCACCCTATGTAGAACACAGACAAAACAGGATGACTTCTGGTTTGATATGGTGTATTACTTATAAGGTACAAATGGTAGGTTGCATTTGTTGAAGGTCTGAGCCAGCAAGATGCTGCTCTGTGACTGCAGGTCACAGAAGCTGTGGGTTGCACGGTGCTTAATGTCATAAGGGTGCAGATGGGGAGTGCCCTTTCTGGAAGGCTTCCATTGAAATATTTCCCAATGTTTCTGCTGAAGTTTGCTGAGGAGTTTGCCTAAGACTACAGATGTTATTTCCCTTTTGTATTACTGTCATCTTTTCAGGATGCTAAGAGCATTAGATCTACTTTAAAAGCTGCATAATCCCCTATTGGTAGTGCCATCCCAAATCTCTTTTGGCTGCGCTGAAGCTAAGATTGGGCATTGCTGCCCTAGGGAACCAGGTGCAGGATTGTGTTGATCCGTGTGTTTTCCACGCTGTCTCAACTGCCTTTACCAGGTGGAAGTCTTGGTGCTTGCTCTGTATCATCTGCGAGCCGAGGTACATAAACTAAACATACAGAAGCCCATCTCAGGTCTGTTTTGCTCTCTTGTCGTTGCGGCATTCCAGCTGCAAGCAGTGGTCAGGTGGTATGATTATCTGGACAGAAGGGTTCAACACTTTCACTATACATGCTCATAAAAATACCATACCTGCTTTGAAGACTGTGAAAGACGCTCCCTGCCTTGTATGCCTTCTGCATTAGCGAAGGAGCTGGTAGAACAAAAGAATAGGAAGTAGAAAGGAGGAAAGTTAAAAAGAAGGTGTGGAAGCAGTCATACAGTTAGGTTGCCTGTGGAATAGTTGGCATACGTGACTTGTGGGTATCCTCTCCAGTCAGTGCACCAGAAATAATCCTAAAATAACACATCTTGTGTGTGGTACAATACATGAGAGTGGGGGAGAAGAGCTTTGGCATCCTATGTTTTCTTTAAAGCACTTAGATACAGATACATCTTTTACTCATTTTCTTTTCATAGTTTGTCTATATAAAACTCTTGCAGTTTATTTTAGATCTTAAATGTAGACTCTGTCTGTCAAAAGTCTGGTATTATCTTGCTGCATACTAGAGATTGACAACTACCCACTCGAAAATGACAGTGGTAATGTAGGATCTGGAAAATGAGCATGTAACAAAACTTTACCTCTCTTGGCATTGCCTTGGAGTGTGATTTCTTCAGAGCTGATGGGCTTGTAGAGAGGAGCTGAGTGGGGTAGTGCTGGACTTGGAAGAGCTCACCAAGGCTTCCTGTGTTCCTAGCTGAAACCCTGACGGCATTTGCCTCTTGTCCTCTCCAGATGGTTGCTGCCCTTGCTGCCTCTAGGGACTGCTGCCTACTTCTATCTACCTTGCAGACACTTGCCATGGCCTGCTTGCTGCTGCTGTTGGGAAGAATGCACACCACCTTGCCTGTATATACTGTCCCACAGACCAGGTGGTCTAAGGCTGGGAAGTGGTGCAGGAAATGTGTCCTCTAAATAATTCAGGAGGTGGAGCTGTACTGCTAGCTGCACTGAGCAAACATTCCTGAGAACACATTGTACTCTGCAGGAGGGTCTGATTTTCCAGGTTAAAATAAGTCCAGCCTGCCTAGGATCTTCACAGACTTTCCTTTTAACTGACACTTGTTCGGGATGGTGGATGGAGGACAATGAAGATAATTGGGTCATCACCATACCGAGTCCAAGTTGTTCAATGGTCTCCATGAGTATTCATTGCAGTTTCACTTGTAATCAGAGCACAAAACTCTATTAACAGGAATAAAAACATTTATCAGTAGATTATGGACAGAAATACTGCAATTATGTAATAAAATCAGGGTAAATGTCATGGGAAGAAGACATTGGCCATGTTCAATTGCAGCTGAACCGCACACCTTAGCTGTGTGTTCTCCTCTTGGTTTGCGGGAGAAAGAAGTGAGGAAATGAGAAACTGATCTATTTTAAAATCAGCTTGATCAGATTTGAAATGGAAAAACTTTGAAGATTAATCGCTTTTCTGTTGTAGTTTATCTGCAGGGCAGAGTAAAGGTTATTTGACTGCCTTAACTGTCTGCTTCCCACGCCTGCAGCTTAATTATCACATAGTTTTCTAAACTGTTGTTTTTCTTAAAAACAAGTTATTTAAATGAATGCTAACTATGTGACAAGTCTGCAACATCTTTCTGTCTGTAATAAGGTGGTTTTGAGCCAAAATATGTCAGAAGCGTGCTCTTATAAAGACCAATTTCGTCTCAAATTAGAGAGTTTGATTGGAGTACTGTGACTTGAGGGATGATTCATCATATGTGACAAAGAGGATGGATCTTTAAGAAAGAATTCAGTGGACTGTCTCTGTGGCTAACACCTGTGTAACACAGAGTTTCTGTCCAAGGCTGTCCTCTAGCTATGACCACAACTCTGATTGCACCAGTATGGAGTCACCAGGCTTCATCCAAGAGTTTGGCTGCATTTGGGCCCTTGCAGAGCATCACTTCAGGTAGTTTGTGAATTGAACAGCAAAATTTCAATTATCCTCATGTAAGAGAGGCTCATCTCATCAGTAAATTTAAGACAGCTTTTTTAATTAAAGGTGATTAGTTGCAACTACGCTTTTGTGTGTCCTGA